CTACTGTAATAATACTGCTAAATGGATATTTGACATAAATAAATACTTCAGGGGGAAGAAGAAATTTATGTCTTAGAAAAGCATCTGATTTCATCCCTAAACAGCTGACGTGGATGCATGAAACAACCTCTGCAAATAAAAAGCGAGCTCTGGCCCACTGGCCCAGAACACAATCACCTTGTCTCAAGCTGATCGCAAAATTCACACGCACCCAGCGCTAGCCAGTTAGCATGACTCAGCAAGCTGATGTGCAGTGTGTGTTTGCATGTGAGGGGTTAGTAGGTGAGGGGTGGGGGTGGGGTGTTTGTTTACTGTAAAAAAAAAAGCAATGGTGAGCAACACAATGAAGCTGAGCTATAGGCACTATGAACCTTGCCTGGTGTTGTGATGCTCAAAAAGGCAAGCACACGCTAATGGAGCACTGTGGTATAAATAGCAGCGCTGCATCAGATGACTTTCTATAGCTGCTGGCTTTGCTGTTTTGCTGTGATGCTTTGGAGCCAACGTACAGTTGATCAATGTAGCAGAAAGATGCGTTCACCTACATGAAAGGGATTAATGTTAACATACAGAAACACCTCACTTTCACTTGTGGTAGTGGTGTAATTGTATCACACTGCCTCTTAGTCTGGCACCCTTCAGAATCAGAGGTGGAAAATCATGCTTTCTCCATCCGTCCCCTGCACATGTTTCAACATTCCTCTCAGTCTTTACCACTTTTTTCTACTTATATTAGTTGCTACTGTAGTTCCCATTCTTTCCCTTTGTCTGAAACCACACTGCCACCAATTCTCTTTACCCGTTTTTTTCTGTCTCTCTGTGGCAGTTACCATATATGCGTCAGCTGTCTTGACTTTGACAGGTCATCCTGGCAGAACGGACTATAGCTGTGGCAAATTGCTCTACGCTCTTAAAAGAGGCTCACCCATATCCTAAAAGCTCAGTGCGTCATTGCTTCAGTAAATTCTGACAAACCAAACAGAAAGATTGAAGTTATTGTTTTGTTATTTTCTAGATCCTAATTATGGCATACAATGGTGCCCCAGCCTTCAAGAACCATAAACTAAGACCTAATTGCACATGGATTGATGAGAAAGGGAGGGATTAGTGTAATGTCTCCTGTGCAAATACACCTGAAGCTGTGATTCCTTTGTAAGCAGAGTCAAACACAAAGCAAGCCATAATGTTACATGCAAAAATGTCATATGACTGACACAGTGTCAGGACTACGACTAAACTCTTAGCATGTGGCTGAAGTTCACGCCAATGCAAATAAAAATACCCTAAACAGAATGCCTTGAAAGGAAACGAATGATTCTCTCCAGTAATGTGTTATTGAACGACTGTGTTCCTACTCTTGGAGCAGCTCGTGGAGTTTTGTCAATACAGAGTGGCTGCAGGATAAATATCATGTGAGGCCACACATGATCAGAAATCAGGGCAGCAGTATAGCGACACAAAACCTATACAAATGTGCAAAGCCTTCAAAAGCATCTGTCCAGCTAAGCCCTGCTCAAGCGGAGTTTACTATATATTACTACAGCAAGCTATAGTGTCCAAAGAACCATAAGGACACAGTTAATTTTTATTTTTAATTGACACAGGATATGAAAGGAAATTAGTTAGATGATCATTTTTGAATATGGACCCAGCTGAAATAGAAATCCCTGCAACAACAGCAACGAGGGAATATATTTGATGAATTAAATGAATGAACAACTGGTAGCCTGAATTATAATTACCTTTTTCAGCCTGAAGCAAGGGAATATGAAAAACTTGTATCTGCCGTTGAACAAGTGTTATCTAACCAGACTCCACAATCCTGGTCATAGTGTTAAATGCTGGTCTTTCACATGTTGGTGAACAAAGTTACTACCTCTAGAAGTACTTTTTTATAAAGTTACAGAAACTTTAAATGCAATATTTTAAATGTTTTTCTCGCAGATTCTAGTCCCCTAAGCCATTGTTCAACCAAACAGGTATCTGCGTATGATTGCAGAGGGTAAGGTGTTGTATTAGACTTTCATAAGGCGACTGAAAAAACAGCTTGTTCGTGACCACTTGATTTACTTACTGTAATCACTGTATTGTAGTTTTGTAGACTGAAAACTGTACGGTAGAATGGCAAATGCAAAGAATGTAAAAATAGGGTAGAGAATGGTTGTGGTTGAGCAAGAGAGAGAGAACGTGAGAAAGTAAAACGAATAATAAAAAAAGTTTAAACTAAAGAAAGAATAATGAGAAAAAAAGTAAGGAGGAGGATATGTAAAGGGAGAGAAAAGATAAAATCTCAACTCAGACTCACAATAATTGGACTTTCTAGACAGAAATGTAGTTCAGTTGGAATGCAGCCCTACTTCATCAGATATATTCAAATATTGTTTCGTTTTTATTAAACTGAATGGTCAAATACTGCTGAGCTGTTCTGGCACTCAACCTTTAAAGAGGCGAGACGATTTATGTTCCAAATGCCTATTTAATTCTACCTTTATATGACAGCACTTTGTATTATTCACTGCACAACTAGATTATTCTTATCTTATTCGATGGCCAACACATTAAACTGTCACATATTTGTATGTCAAGGTGAAACAATACATACATACACACTAAGAACTGCAGTATCAAGTATGTATTGTTAAAATCTGCAGTGGAGCTTTTGAAATGATCAATCAAATTGCTTTTATCTTACTGTTTAATTGATTTTCATAATCTCAGACTTAACAAGCAGAATCTAAATCCCACAGCAAGAATTGGACAAAAAGCAAAAAAAATAAAACAGGCATTTATACAAGCTTGTATGATAGACATACAGAAAAATATTGACTCTACAAATGTATTGTGCAACCCCACCACCTACCATTGGGTTCCAACCACCAGGTTGAGAACCACTGACTTAGTGAACCATAAACTGTAGGCTAATGTGAAAACAATTGATGCAGATGCCAACTTCATTTAAATGTGATGAGACACCGTACTGTACAGCTCAACTCCACCCTTTCGCCTCCTTCTGCCTCCCTCTGCCCCACCCTCTTTCCTTTGTCCTGGGAGCAGACTAAACGGTCCTTCTATTTTGGGAGCGCAGCAAAGCTTTTCAAGGTATACAGCATAGAGTAAATTAAAATGACAAGGACGCTGAGGGCCCCTTCCTTCATCATCTCGCCCTTGCTCCCTCTTCCTCATCTTCCCTTCCCTCCACTTTCGCAACCTCCCACTGCACTGGTCAATTACTGCAGCCAAAGAGGCTTTTAAGGATCTATCGCTGAGACCAGAATATGCATCAATTGTTAGGCTAGTTATGGACGCTATCAAAAAGTCCCCTCCCTCGCATTTCTTTTTGTAGTAACGCAACCCACAAAACTAATTATTTAAACCGTTGCAGTGCAGCAAGAAGGTCATATCAACACAGAGGATTCATCTCTGAGAACTTTACTGACTCTTCCTGCGGTGATGGGTGAAGTTATAGCGAAGACAAGTTACCGCACCACCACCAACCCCTTCTGCCATTATCAGATTATTGATTAGTAGTAACAAGGATTAAAATGTCAGGAAAGCACACATGCTGGTACACCCACATTAAAATTAAAGAGTTCACTTCAAGGGTAAGGAGACGGGCAGGTGTTCTGTAATGAGAATTAATCCCCAACAACGGCATTCAGCTTAATAAATGCTATGAGGTCACTGCAATACGACTCTTCTTATAGCTGAATGCTACCCTCAGCTAGAGACAATACTAGAATAGCCTTTTGATCAGGTGTGTGTGTTCGTAATAAGAACAGCATCAGTGGCAGGATATAAGGCATTTAGAGTGGGTGGTATGGGCAAAATTATTATTCTAAAAATTATCACAGCATACTCATAGGTTACAGGATTTTTCATCGTTTAGTGAGCCACATCTTACAAATGTTACATTTAAAAAAAATGTAAATGTAATGTAAATTCAAAATGTATTTTCAAGCGTGTGGGATTTAATGCTGTGCCAGATCTTGATTTAAATTCAGTATATCTTTCCTTTAGGGATGAGATATGGCAGGTATGATACTTTGTTTTGGGATTCTTTTCAATGACAATGTTTAAATATTTACTCAAGAAGACGCCTCCTCATAACTTGCAGTGCATGGATAGCCGCTCCTACTTCCTAGACATGGAGCCAAGTCGCAAACAAACCAGTTTAGCTGAATGTTAAATTGACAAATTGGAAATAAGTTTCCATGGAATAGGCCTGCAATTTCTACAGTATACTGCTGCATTACTGCTGTGTCATTCCTCGTCAGGCCCTCTGTTTAGTGCAAAAATGAAATACAACAATTGTTTACAAACCAAAGCAACAACTAGCTTTCAAAGCACATCCTGAAAGGTCTCAAGCTGTATCTGCTTCTTGAAGGTTCAAAGTCAGCAGAAAATTAACTATGGCAGGTCTATCAACATTTGAATTTCTCAACATATTAAAGTGGATTAAGGGAAGTTTACAATTCAGCAACTCAAGCTTAGCGTACCTAAAAAACTGTTATACTAACCAAATATCAGTTAGTTCTTATTTTCATTCAGCCTTTCCTCTTGCTGCCTTTTAGCATGGGAGCTGCTAGCATTATCCTCACTCTGTTAGCATTAGCTATATTGTGTACGTAGACTTCATGTGAAAATTTTAGGACAGAGAGAAAGCTAGAAACCTTAAGAAGTCAGTTGGAGACAGAGTTTTTACCCAACTCACAGAGTTAGCATTAAGCAGCTAGCTAGCTACAAGTCAAATCTGATAGTGAAAGTTGTCATTTCCACCAGCAAAATCGGTGGTCGAGAAATATGAGTCTTGCTTTTGTATACTTCTGCATGAAATCTATGGCCTATTCTTCGCTAATTTTGAGTGGTAAATTTGCCAACATTATCAGTGTGAACTGCTTATGTGTATATGGAAAGCTTGACAGGTGTAGCAACAATAACACAAGGTGGTAGGTCTTGGCAAAGGGTCAATTAGCACTTTTAGTTGAGAGATAAATACTTACTGAGGACGTAGAGGGACAGGGTAATCCCTGCCAGGCAGAAGCCCTCAAAGAAGCGCAAGGTGCTGAACATGGGGGCGTTGACAGAGAAGGCCACAGTCAGACCAAACACCAGCATGAACAGCACCGATATGATCAGCACTGGGTGGCGGCCAAACCTATACAAGATACAAATACATTTTTGACTATAAAGAATGTGAAAACAGTGGTTTTGATATACACACAATAAGACTTTATGTTGTGCAATAGCTTTGTCCAAAATCTTACCAGTCAGCAAGGACTCCAAACACCAGGTATCCAAAGATGGATCCCACCAACAGAGAAAATTTTGCAATGTGGACTTTCCATGCTGAGTCACACACCAGACTCCACTGTGAAGACAAATAAACACAGGCATTAGTCCCAAGACATGTATGCTGGGTAAAAGGTGAAGGTTTTGAGAATGAGACACTTTATCTATTGACTATCACTGTCCACTAGGTCTGAATGATTTCTGGGGAATTATTATCACACAGAACACCGGAATGTGAAAAGGGTACATGTCTTTATGCCTGTCTTTATTTTCTTCGGTGACTGAAACTCTCCACTCCAGCAGCAGAAGGATTCCTAGAGGGCAAACAATGCAGTGCCTCCCCCCCCGTAGACAAGTTGTGACAGACAGATCTTTTACATAGCACAGGCTATTATAGTACAGAGGTACAGGGGGAAATGTAAAGGCCAGTGGAGTATATGCACTTCTTATGTATGTCAGCTGCTTGTGGGAACAACCTACATATACCCTCAAATATCTACCCTAACCTGCAACTTCGACCATCATTGATAATATTACGTAATTAAAACTAGGATAGGTGATGTTTGAGAATTTAACAAGAGATGGCTAGATTTTGAAAGTATGCAACCAAAATAATACCAACCCCTCCATCCAAAGCCACTCCCCCAAAACACAGTTTCATGCGCAATGACTGCACAGGCAGAGTGCGCGCAGGTATGTAGGTAGAAAGGCAGGTAGGCCGGACAATCATTTCATTCGGTCCGAATGTTTTTCACAGTCCTGTGACAGTGACAGACACCTGTTTTGTTTCTGTGTCAGAGCATTTGACTTACTGATTGCTGTAAAGAGATGGATGTAAAGATCATTTCAACAAATATAATGAAAAAATGCTTCTAAAATAAATTGCCTACCCCAGCTTTAATGAGCCTAGTAGAGTAGTTGTTCCTGTGAGGGGGGGAGGATATTTGGCAACATATGCCTCTCAGCTGTCTGTGCTGACACAAGCAGCAGCAAGGCACAGACTGGGCGTGGTGGCTAGCATATGGGGGAAGCTGATCAACACTGACCTCAGTTCTGTCTCACTTCTGTCTAATCTATACACCAAACCACTATCACTGTATAGAATATCGGAATATATATATTGCCATGTCACAAAAGAATCCCATCATCATCGCCATTTATATCAAGCTCAACCTCACCTTATAAATACAAAGTGTAGTTTGTTCTCCTGTTTTTCTCTGAGGGGCTCTAACCTCTCATAACCTCTACCCTAGCGACCTGTTCAGAATGGAACCCTCCAGGATTACCCAGAGCCACCCAGCCATCACATGATCCAGGCATGCAACTCACTCATGGTTTCAGTATCGATGTCAGCAGAGAAAAAGACAGAGGGAGGAAAACAAGTTCCTGTCGAGCAATCACTGCACAACCAAGGGTGTTTAAAAAACTGAAACTGCCGTCCTATAGGAATAAAAAACAGACATACACAGAAATTAAACTCTGCGTGGCTGGATGACAGTTTGGTGACTGTGCATAACAGACAACTGCTGGTGACCACAGACGGAAGACCATTGTTGTAAAATACCAACATATAAAAGTCCTACACCAGAGACAAAGAAGTAATGTCATGCAAGTGTTAAGTGCTGTTGAAATGTGTAGCCAAAAGGGCAGAGCATGGCAGAATTTGATTTGAGCCAAAGTATCTTTAATGTGTTTTATTTATAACTATCTGCCAATTCGCATGTATTATTAACTAGGTTTCTCTCCAGGCCAAGACTCTGGCCGAGATCATACCCAATCATTAACAGGCATCGCTATTAGCTATTATCATAAGTGAAAAAAATATGGACAGACTTTCAACAGTAGTAGTAGCAGAGCAAATAAATCCCAGCAAACTGCCATTAACTCTACGCATGAGTCAAATCCACGCAGCTTGTCTGCTATGCCCCTATTATTTCTGTCAGTTGCTCTCTTGCTGTTGTCTTGCTCATTTAGGAGTAATGAATAGAAGTCAGTGTGTAGAGTCGGGTTATAGGCGCATTTAAAACTATTAACTGAAATAAAATGCAGAACAATGAGCGGCCAAAAGCAAATCAGTTCAAATCCCTAGGGTGTCTGCTGATCCCTCTCTCAAATGACTGGCCACCAGTGATCGGTCTACACCAGTGAGTCTCATTAGCTTAGATGAAGACACTCTCAACTACAGCTGCACATTTCTGCACTCGTTGAACTACAGAGTGGAGGGTGGTGGGTCTCAACGGAGGGGGAGCAGACAAGGAGGGAGGGAGGGGAATGGAGAGCACAGGAGGAGGGAGGAATAAAGCTTATTCAATCTAGAAACATAACAAACAAAGACATGGAGGGAAATGCAAAGAATAAGTACATATATGGGAAAGGATAACAGGCTGAAGGGAGAGGGAAAGAGATGCTTAAAAGCAGTTGTGAGGGGAAGGCAGAAAACACATGGAGAGACTGCTGCATAGTTACTGCCTAGCAACAGACCATCACTGTGGTTATCAGACTATTTCTGCTTCCAAGTGCAAGTTTTAGCTATCGCTGCTCCACTGAAGGTTAAAAATCCTATAATGTGGTGGTAGCTTAGGTGAAGGTAAAAGAGAATGAAAAAACGGATTTTAAAAGAAAGGTTAGTAATAGCAAAAAGATTTATCTATGCTACACATACTCACTCTCCATTGCGGTTATGTGTTAAAGTCAAGAAGGAAACAAAAAACACATATCCGACATTGGTGATGTAGCCTGAGGCACTCACAGACAGAGCGTGTCTTTAGATAGGTGTGACCAAGTTTCAAGTAACTGTTACACTACTGTAGCATCTGGACTATACTACGCATCACATGAAAAAACACTAACATGTTTGACAAGCTGGCGGATGGCAGTTATATTTTCCCTGCGGCCAACAAACAACAAACCTTTTTCCGCCAATACATTATTCATTGCCTCCTTTTGTTCACAGCTAAGAACCGTAACTAGACATCACAAAATACACCAGATATGTATTGATAACCAACAAGCACTCCTACAACCTGAATTCTGTCACACCTCACAACAAACTTAAACCACGACAGAGGGTCTGAAGCCCCACAATGTTACAAAAACAACACTTATCAGAAACACAGAGCCCCAACAGAATTTTATCTTTTGGTCACACAAGCGTCTTTCCTCCCAGCTGACGCTGTGAGTGGTTGTCATTGTGTGCTGACTGGGTATCTGCAGTGGGGTCATCGCCTTTCGACAGCTGAGACCGTTTCAAAGTGTCCCGCATTGATCCGGGGTCTGTGGGAGGAGCAAACCAGCTGGGTAAACAGTATGAAGGGACACGGACAGAGCAGAGAGGCCTGCATTGCTATTCAACAGTATCATCTTTCAGATCTTTGGGTGTGCAACCTCCAGCACAGTGATATTGGGTCTGGGTGTACCCACTAATGTGCTTTACAACATATCTTCCTTTTCACTTTCACACAATGCTCTAACCTACATTATCCACGAAGGTTAAAATCAAGGGCAACTGGACTTGGTTGAAGATACTGGAAGACGTTTCGTCCCTCATCCAAAGGACTTCTTCAGTTCTGACCTACATTCTAATAAATGGCACTGATAATTTGACCATGTATATACTGAGTTAATGCTGAAACAATTACTCATTTAATCACTCAGCTAGGGCTCTAAGTAATGAATATATTCATGACTTATGGCCCAAGAAGCCCATTCTTTTTCTTGATTATTTGATTAATCATCGAGACTATAAAATGTAAGAAAATAGTTAAAAGTTTACATCTCATCTCAAAGCCCAACCTAACATCTTAAAATGTCTTGTTTTGTCTAACCAACTGTCTAAAACCCCAAAATACACTGAATGATTGGGTATTTTTGCTTTAAAATGATTTTAAGGATTAATTCATTGTCAAAATAGTTGCAGATTATTTTTCTGTTGATCAGCTAATCGATTAATCAACTAATCACTTCAAGTCAACTATCAAAAGAAAGTTGTCGTGCAACAATTTTGATGATCAATTAATCATTTTGGTCATTTAGTAAGAAAGAAATTCCAAATATTGGCCGTTTCCAGCTTCTACAATATATCAGGATTTGCTGCTTTTTTCAGATTCATCATTATCATTTTAAATGGAATATTTTTGTGTTTCAGACTGTGAGACAAAACAAGCTTACAATCTTATAGGCCAAAGTCCAAACGCCATTCTACGGTGAAGCAGTAGGATTCAGTTTTAGACCTGTTAAATCATCAATCCCTAAATGTCAAGTGTCTCTAATTAATATGCAAGAACCACACTTTCCCAGGGAGTGTCAAGGTTACTCTTTGCTTTGAAGAAGTTCTCAGGCCACTAATACAGGCAGCGTGTGGGAGCTGAGTAGGATAGGTTGCAGAGAGACTCTATCTGTCTCTGAGTAATGATACATTCTCATTTCTAAGGCTCAGTCCAATTAAGACGGACCCCGAGGAGAGCTTAGACTCATTTAGGATGGGTCTCCACATTAACCACTTTGGATCTTTCACCACCACCTCAACCTCCACCGCCTCCTTCAAAGCCCCCATTCTGTGACACCCTGAGAGTCAGGAGCGGGCAGAGACCTGTGCTACTGATTCTGGAGGCTACACATATGTGGCACATAGTCTACATATGTGAATGTTTAACTCATGTGATATGAAGGGTTAACAGGGTAACATGGGGTTAGTATGTGTTGGTACATTTTGACAGAGACGCTACCACATTTCTTGAGTGCTGACACTTATCTGTTTTTCAAGGATCCAGTGTCACAGTCATGTGCAGTTATGCCTATGCAAATCAAACACTGGGAGAAATGCCAAGTCATCATTACCTCCTACAACGTCACCTCCTAGTTTCTGTGCTGTGGTGGTGGAAAAGGGACCTCGAAAGAGTGACGGACAGGTTGAGAGTCAATTTTCCTTCCTTTTTTCATTTTGCATTTGAGGATTCGTCTGCATGCCATTGATTCAATCTCTCCTGACGGTGACCTTGTCAGAATGTGGACTACATGGGTCAGGGAAGGCGGCGCAGCAGATAAAATTTACCAGCTGCTCAGGCCTGACACTGATCTACAGCGGTGGTAGTGTCAACATGACATTCTCCATATGTGTGTAAAAGGCAACACAAATATAATTATCTACAGGTTACAACTCCAGCATGAGAGGAGGGCCTGCAAGTGTTTTAGCACTAAAGCCTTCATATCGGAAACCCCTCTTGAGTTGAGAATGTATTGACTGTTAAGTAATATGGATCCACCCAATTTTCCTCACATATGACTTCATATCCAGCTGCAGGTTAAGAGCATTTGGAACGCCTCTCTCCATAAAGACAGTTTATCAGTCCTTAGTTCATGCAACCCCACTCCCCAAAATTACCCTGCAGACAAGATTTAAGCTGTCTCCCTGGCTCATGACCTAATGAAAATGCCACAACTGCATTTTATTTGCCTTTTTATTTAAGTGGGGATATCATCAGTGATAAGCAGATGGGCTGTTTGGATCACAGTGGACGCAAGCTCAGGGTGGCACAACCCCCTCCTGTAGCACAAAGCCGATGCAAAGCCCAGCTACAAATCTAACTCTTCCTGATAAGACTTTTGATTATAGCAGAAAATGGAATGCAAGGGTGTGTGAGCTCATCAGAGCACGTATCAACATTTGAAACCTTTACTAAGCTGAACTGAACATTGACCTTTTCCCTTAAGATTTAAATCTCATTATCCCATCAATGTGAGGGTCAAGTTTACTCAGGGGACCCTGCAGATCAAAGTGCCATGCTTTTTTTCCTCACACAAAATAAAACTTGATATCTTGATATAAAGCATGCAGCATCCACAAAGGGAGAAGAGCTGATGCATTACGATATATAAACCCCTACTTCATGCAGCTAGACCAGCTCTGATGACAGCAGGCCTGTGCAGATAGGGGTATCACAACATTATGGTGGTGTGGTAGGAGGTAACGACATCACCTCTGGGAATCATGGACACACTAGAAGTGCCCAGAATGAACGCTATAAGACTATCTCACTAGTGTTTGTTTAGGACAGTGATAGGGCAGGTGATGTTTGACCAGGGATGGGGTTGCATTATTCTAGAGTACACTAATGACCTTTGCTCCAAATCAAAAGGCTTCATTCTCTATTATGTCCATTACGACAACCGGCAAATTCCACCAGCCCTGGCAGTTTTGCCCAGTGTGCCAATGGTGGAGTCTCTTTGCAATAGGTCACACTGTGTGTCAGCTGTTGCGATGACTCACGGTCAGCACAATGCAGGATCTCACCTATACTGTCCTACTACGTTTGGATCCAGCGTGAGCCGATTCGTGGCTCTGTAGGACCTCTACAGAATAGAAACGACTCTAGTGCTACCGGCTGTGGAGAAATGCACGCCTCGGATGCAATAATGGAGGCATAGCCACAACCACTATCCAGCAGCTGTCAAAGAACACGATTTGGGCACAGTGTTATAATAACATGACTGCGTTGTTGCCTGAAAAGTGTGAGGATTTCCCCCTCTTGCTAACGTAAATCGATCGTAAGAGGATTAGAGCGGCTAGGGTATCACATGTATAATACAATATGATGGAAAGGATGCCCATCCTCAAGATGAACAGCTTACCTTGGTAACCACATTCTGCACAAGTCCAGTGTGCAGCTCGAATGTCCACTCACTGCACCTACACTGCATGTTGGTGGTGTCATTGTGGGTGCTGTAACTTCCATTGGCATGGCTGTAAGCCGGCCGCGCGCTGATATTTTTTGGACTGTCTAACAACGAGGAATGGCCCGCAGTGTGGTTAGTCAGGTTTGTCAAAGGCTGGACACATGTGTTGTTCGGCTGGGCAAGGAGGAAATTATCAGAGTATTGGCTGAATCCAATAAATAACGCCGGAATCCATGTCAGCACGATCAGCTGTTTCTGGTACTTCCCAAATCCCCCGAGAAATGGCAGGACACAACCGTCGATGCGTGTCAGCAGCCCCGGCGACGTGGTTTCGGGGGACACGAAGCCGTTCTCCGGTTGATGGTCCTCCGTGTCGAGCTGCACCACGGCCATCGCGGTTTCGCCGATAGATGCCTCCGTTGTGTAGCGAAGCCGGGGTTGCAGTGCTACCCCCTGTCGACTCCACAATGCGTCAATGCCCCCAGCTCCGGCGGTGAAAGCCGTGCGCAGTTCATTCACTGGAATGGAAATAAGACGCACCTCTTTATTATCAGGAAGCACTTCCGTCTGCCACCAAAACAGGGACTGATCGCAGGCTCGAGCTCCGAAACAAAGGCAGATTGGAAAGAATTATGCAATGACTGGGGAAACTAGGTATTTTCCGTCGTCTGATTCATTACGGACTCTGTCAGTCAGCGGTGGAAGCAGAGCCCGCAAAAGTGCTTCCTGAATGAGCCACAGGTAACGCACCTGCCCATCAAGGCTGCGTGTTGTTGACTCCTACCCCAACATGGCTACCTGTGCACCGGTAACCACCTTGACAGGAAAATGCTCTGTGCAAAACTAGAGCAAGTCAACTTGGCTACTGGAAAAAAAGCAGTAGCTATTATTGCTCCTTATAATATTGCCTATTCAGCAAAAAATACACCAGTAGCCTGCTTATTTTGTATCCACGTTATGTTTATTATTTAATGACAGAATAAAAATCAAACCAACCTGCAGCAACACATTCAAACAAGTTTCTAAGAAATCGGTATTACAAAGGTTTTGCAAGGAAGTCACAAGAGGCAGTAGTTTGTATTGTCTTCACGTTCCAAGTAACATTGTCCTAAATATTGTAGATAATGAATAAATATAGGTACATATATACGTAAATATAAAAAATGTAAATGCCCAGGACAGACGTCCCATCAACAGGAGGAGGAGGAGGAGGGGGAACTGGCTCTGCCCCCGCCCATTCTGTAGCAAACAATAAACACATGTATTTTAGATTCCAGCAAAGGTGAATAAAACAAATATAATTTTTCTTTTTATAACTTGTATAAGCTTATTCAATTTCAGATGTAAGCAAAAATCTCTAATACAGGAGAAAATGACCTGTCTGTCTGTTGTATAGGGGCAATGGTTTGTAGGCTGCAGTGTGTGGGAGCAGCATTCAAAGGGGTTTGGTCTTGACAGTTATGTCTGAGTGATTGAGAGAGAGCGAGAGAAGCAAATCAAAAATTTCTCTTGTCATAAAGGTAGCCTTTATCATGTTCTAATATGTTGGTAGTCATAGGCTTCAGCTTTTCTGGTGATTTACATTGTGCTTTGATGAGTCAGCATTTTGCACTCATTTTTGCTTTTTTTAAATTTTGGGCAGCCCCATACAATTCCTTACATAGCCTACCGAATTCGTAACTAAAGAAAATTACATTTTTAATTACATTAAACAAAATTACATTTAACTTGCTTGGTGGTGACAAATCTAGTTTCATAATAAACCCACAGGCGTGGAGTTATGAATGTTAGTAAGTCATTAACAATGAGTTCTTTTGCTGTAATAATTTATCAAGTGTGGAGTTAAATGTAAATGTTTCATAATTAGCAGTTATCAAGTGGATTTTGTTCCAGATGGTCTTCAGCTCTTTCCAGTTGGTTGAACTGCACATTGAGGAGTCTTGCTGATGAAGAACTAAAAAGACTAGAGGAAGTTACACTGGAGGAGGATAGCCAACTGATATTTTCACAACCTGGCAACCCCAAACGTTTCCTTATTAATGTCTAATTGCTAATCTACGTGATTAATAAATCATTTATTACCCATCAACAATAGCCCAACACACAGTAAACACTTTATAAATTATGCCCTATTACAACGCGGGTCCATTCGTTGTAGCAACAGATGATTAATTTGTGTTGTATTATTCATTGTGAAGGATTTAAGGAAGCCTCATGGGAACGGGATAAACTGCACTATTTATGATAAAGAGTTCTTTATTGGTCAGGTTTGATTTACACCCACCAGCTTGGTAGCCCATATTTATCTGACCATGTGATAGCAGACTCCTACTTTTCTACTCAACGTTGTGTTTAGCAATGCTTCACCCTCCTGGCCATAATGTGCTAGCACATACTTCCTTTATTGACTCAGGTTGTTGAATCACGCACATTTAATTTTTATTAGTTTGTCAGTGTGATTCTTCTTCTTTTTAAACGATTATTATGAAAATAATATTCTATAAGGTATAACTGTACGCATAGCAAGCATAGCAGTTCCTGAGGCGCTCCTGGAATGAAGACTGAGGCTATAGTCTAGCTTCCTGCAGTGTGTCTTGTTGTGTTAGTCACACACTGACCCCCCCTGCAGGCGGACTGGGGCAACACCACTGCTTTCTTTTCATTGCAGCATTTGCAGCCTGTTTTTTTTTTTTTTTTAAATCTGGCAACAATCATGCAACGTCAACATTTGTGCGGGTTTAAAATTCTCACTAAATTACTGACAGGATATAAATGTAAAGTTAAGCTGTTTGATGCAAATGATTTAACTTTCAATGTGCTGTACAACAGCTAATGAATGTATTATAAATGTATTTTTCCATTGTTTGCTGTTGTATGTAATCTACAATAAATACTAGATTAATGACCACATATATTTTATCTGCTTCCTTTACACAGTGACCCAGACAATGTTTTCTGTTGTAGTGTGCGCAAAATATGTCTCATGGCTGTGTGCCAACAGAAACCAGTCGACCAATGTACCGCCATACTTTCTCACTGTGTTGTTTGTTATCATTCAAACCTGCTTATTACTTGCTCCCATGGCAACTAATTCAGGTGTGTCCAGGACCCACCCAGGCAATGCTGTGAGTCAGCGTGTGTGTGTGTGTGTGTGTGTGTGTGTGTGTGTTAGTTTATCTGTCTGTCTGGTATATGGTTACACATGAGTTGTAAAACAGGGAGGAAAAAATCAGAGGTGGGCCTGAGCTTTCTCTCACAAAGTAACAACGTTGCATGAGTCTTTTTGTGCACTTTGATTTCAAAGTCCAAGACAGATTTGGACGTTTGGGGTTAATGTCAACTTTAGATAGGGATGGAAAACAATAAATTCATGGTCAGTGTACACAGTTTATGGACTAGGCATGGCCACACCAAGATACAGTCACGCTACTGCACAAATACTGTGAAGAGCTTTCAGTTAATCTTGAAATAAGATAAAGTAAGGAGATTTAGTATTTTCTACCAGGATTACATAAAATATAAACAAAAAATTCTAAACTTGCAACCTCTTTTTTTACCAAATGTATTTTTACTTAGTTAATGTGGAGACCTTGGCTTTACTGAAGCGAATGACAGAACCGCCAGTGGCCCTGTAAAGCAGCACTGAAGAAATGTCTCTCATTCAGTATTGTGCTATGAAGCAGTGGAAAGTCTGTATGTTTACAAGCTGCAAGGGAAAATAAGATAAGGTATAAAGATAAGATATTAACAAAACGTTAATAAGCGACATGATGTCAATTGTCTATGCAATTTAATAAACCAGCTGTCAGTCTTTTTTCCCCAGGTGACTCAGTGAGGGATGTCAGTGCTAGTGCCGGCAAATGATATCATATGTCTACAAGTGTCAGCATGTCTCAGAGTCACTGTGAATCACTAGTTCGTCAGAATTAACCTCCTCAAGCCCTTGCATTGTTTTTTATTCATCAAGTTTCACATCCATTAAGTCATCTTGGGAGGTGTTGAATTTTGTTCCAGATGTCAGTTTGGTGACACATAAGTGACATGAACACACCTTTGCAACAAATGTCCTGTCTTGTGCATCTGTGCAAATGTAGCGGTGACCCACACTGGATTTAAATGCAGAAAGCAAACATTTAGTTAAATATTCACCCCCAAGCTGAAGAGACAGTCAGCAATGCTTTTACTCTGTCCTCAAAACACCCTGTGTACATCTGAATGGATAATGCAGACAGAAAGTACAGGTTATGGACAGACAAGTAGAATAAAGGACCAGAGGGAGGCTCCAGTCCATGACACAAGTATCACAAAATCTGACAAGATGAGCATTCCCTGTAGTCATTGCCACACCTTACAGTGACTGATACTTAAATCTGGAAGAAAGATTCTAATCTTGCAAAAGAAACTTTTTCTCACTTGGGTGCCTGAGGTTCCAATTAATCTTCATTATGTCAGTATACAGTACAGCAAGGTTCACTGTCGTACTGTTCTCTTTTGGCACGAGAGCTGTTATTAAGCTGCAGTTTGCAAAATTGTACATGTTCAGTCTTGCTGTGTCTTTTGTTGGTGGGGGGGGGGGGGGTAAAGTAAACCAAACCCTCTTCAGCCTGGTGGGAAAGAAATGTAAGGTGGGTGTGTTTAACATGTGGGGCTGACCTTCATAGTCATTTCAAATGAGTTTTCATTGTGGGTTTAAAAGTTACTGAATGAGCCGAGGTGTTCAGCATGGACACGGCCATGCCAAGTTATTTTTCAAATACAGGCATTCAAAAAGTTTGCATGTGAAAAAAGAAGGTGTAGTAATGCTTAATGGTTTGAAAATTCCAGTTAAGGGTGTTGGTTTCTTAAAGTTGTCGGTTCAGTTCCCACCCATGACTATGCCTCCCTCTCCACCTATCTTTGTCTTTCTCTCTGTCCTTACACTAGCCTCTCTGATGTAGTGCGGTAGTTGTGTGTGTTCAGTGGCTATACCTCAGAGCTAAAACACCAGGGGGCACAATATGTCTGTCAGCAGTCAACTATTGTTCTCTCTCTCAGGCATAAATACTTTATAAAGAGAGAATTAATTAAGAGCAAAGCATTTTTCTTCTTTTCCTCACATGGATCATCTGTCTTTTCTACTTTTCTGCCAAATAAAATAAAATAACACTCGGGTTAACTGTTTACTCTTCAGACCTCCCACACCCTTTTTGAAACACTGCCTCACCCTGACACTACATATACCCTCCTTACTCTGTCTCCTTGTGTTTCTCAATCCCTTTCACTTTTTACAGCTCCGTCACGCCTACCTGTGGTGTGCTGTGTGTGCAGAGGAATGGAGAGATAGTAGAGAAGTAAAGGCAGAGTGAGAGCGACAAAATGGAGAAAAAAACATCCTTGGTTTCACTTGGTTGTCAGCTTCAAGCAACTGCGTCAAACACTGAACTCTCAAATGGACTCCTTTTGACCTCAAGAATGTTGAACCCGAGACGACAAATTCTTTGCACAACCACTATCTCTACTCACTCCACTGGGGATTAAAAGCCTTGGCTGCTGTATTCTTTAATTATTGTCAACTGGATAGATAGCACTATCACTTGCCAGGCTTTAAATGAGTCCACATTGATCCTGAGGCCATGGGGGGGTGGGGGGGTGCAGGCAAATGCCCTAGAAATGCACTGGGAACCCAAAAAAATCACAGTGAGCTGAGTGAGCCCATAAAAGGACAGGGGAGTCCTTAGTAAAATTAAGAATTTTATTTATTCATTTATCGCAGAGAAAAAGCGCAACGATCAACATCACCAGTGTTAGCCAAACAACTGATTTTCAACTGTTGTCCTTTGCCAGACATTACCATTAAAATAACGATAACATCATGTAAAATCATAACAGGAAAGGGCATGATTGTACTTTTTTTGCAACCAAGTGAAGTGTTATTCCAAACACTGTAGCCTATATTAATCAATTTGGCCTACTCCAATTGTAGATTTCACATAATATGAGGTATAGGCCTACAGCTTACAATTAAACCACTCCAACCGGAGAATAGGCTACAGCTGGTCTCAAATTTACCACATAAGATGATTCAACATCTCTGATAGGGATAATTAAGCATAAGCTGTCTCTGTAAACCTCAAGGACATGTTTTGAAGATGGCAGACATTTGTCTTTATTTGTAACAAGTTAGTCTACTTGTTAATGACTAAGAATAATGGCAAAATAGC